TGCGACTATTTTCTTCTTTTAATAGAAGGAAAGATGTGCATTATGGAAACTTACTCGAGCCAAATAAGAAATTCGCTTTTTTAAATAAATGGGTGCCTTTCAAGTACTTTACCACTTTTGTGGCTGAATTAGAATATTTTGTTATTCGGCTGTGCCGTTTTCAAATTAGTGGCAAGCAAAATTGAATCTGTAAAATAATGAGTATTTACTAGTGATCGCATCTGGCCCTTCAGATATTACGAATGCTCACGTTGTGTCAGCTTTGAACTTTGGCCCAAGCTTGATGCATTTTACCTCTTTGCTCTTCAATTTTTTGTCAAATAGCGATTGGCAACCGAAAGTGAATGACACCGACTTTCTTTTTCTGAGATCACCCACTTTCCACCTCCCTGGTGTATATTCGCCCTCGACTTGCGCACCATTTTTTAATCTTAGTACTACCTTTCTAAGAAAAATTTAATCTCCTTAGAGGCTTACCCAAGCTTTTGGTTAGGCATTTCCCGTATTTTATTCTTGCACATGGTGGCCTATTGAAATCGGTAAAAATACTGCGCATACTTTCTTTTGCATCGATTTTTCTCATTATTAAAAACAGTGTAAGAATATAAAATGGTACGAAATGAGTCGAAAATAAATGCAGGTAGGCGAGTGAAACTATTGAAAGGGATTGATAGCTCCCATTACCTAATAGCTCCTTTTGTAATAGTGTTCATCATATTTCCTCCTCCGAAGGCGTGGAAATGAAATAGCACGACTTAATCGAGTCTTCACACTGGTTCTTCTTGATTCTTGAGGAGCAGGTTTTACGGTGACGAAAGAAGGTCGAGTGTTTTTCTTACGTGTTTTAGCCAGGACGGTGAGAAGGGTGAGGACTATGGTAACGGAAAGCAATATTGATAGCATTCAGATGGGTGTGTATGTATTGAAGCTTGTTGGTGATTCCCCATTGGTCTTGGAAATGCACATACGCCATTTATACTCGCCTTTGACAATCTTGAGAGCGTTACCCGATAGAAGGTGTGGTTTCAAGGCTGTGATTGTGTGGATTGTGCGCTGCGTGATGTGCTACCACTGTGGTGCGCATAAATGTGCGTCAGCGCGATTAAATCAGGCAATAATTAGAGCTCACTCTCACCAGAATCCTTCCTACCTTCTCTCGCTCTCTATTGTTAGGTCTAATAGAAGAGTTGATTAGTCCCGTAAATGTAGCAGTTATGGAGTAATTGTGTATAAAGTGGCCTTGTGATAGCTTGTTTTAAGCTACTGTTGCGCACGAACCCGTATAAGTGTGGCGTCAATGATTTCTGTCCAGATCAATAGACGACAAGTGCAGACACCTTAAACTTCTGCTGAAGCCGAGCGTATCGCAACATCGGCTGCTTTGGAAACGACAAGGGTGCAGTTGCATCGTGTGTACATCAATGGCTTGAAGTGAGGAGGTAGGTATTAGAATGCAAGAACATTACGCTCCGTCAATTCCAACGCATTGGTCGTGTGCATTGAAAGAGTAGAGAAGAGGGTAGATAGAAGCAGCATGTAGGGACAACACGCTGTTGCTAACACCATCTCCCATCACACCGTTTTGATGGTCACCTTTGATGGCCACTTTTGATGCTTAGGGTCAGAGGTAGTGTCACTCCGCCAAAGGAAGATGAATGAAATTTGCAGTATATCTATTATTTTGAGCGAGTGCAGGAAATATGTAGCCACACACTGTTAGCTTAAAATAGCATATCTCCACGTTCTTACTCCTCCTGTCAAAGTGAATCATTAAAAGCTGTTTTGAGAAAAAAATGAGTTGAAGCTGTACAAATGGTTGCTGCTTATGAGGTGTAATCATCACTCCCCTCCAGAAAATGTTAAATTAGTCCAAAGGCCAAAATCTAGCCATCTATGCAAATAAAGAAAGGATGGTTTAATGAAACTCTCTAGATGGATTGGTTGACCGCATGCTTGATTAAGCAGACGAATGATTGTATTAATTGATTGCTTTGCGTTTCCCCTAAAGTTAGAGGTTTTGCTTAACAAGTGGCCAAAAGGTAAAAATAGTTTTAAAAGTTTCTCTGCGGTGAAAACATTGAAGTGCACATCAGCAAATGGCAGGGTTTCAATTTCGGAGGCCTTTGTTCACTGACAGAAA